TAGTGTTCCTTCAAGATAGACGTGATGGTCGTTGAGGGCTCTGGAAAACCAGGGGAAATTTTTTGGGAGTTTGAGAGCATGAATACTGTAACCGCTACCTGTAACAGTAAGACAAGACAGTTTCGGTGATCTTCTGGCATCTATGGATGTCATGCTCTCCATCTGCNACGTTCTCATCTTTTCCGGACCATTTTGCCATGGCCGATGCCTGTAGAGCTCGACCGTATGAGAATGTAAGCGCCCATGGTTTCTTCGTTTGAAGCTGAAATCATGACTTACTATTCGAATCAGCAAAAAAACACTTGTTAATTTGTGATAAAGTTTTCCTCATTAATTTTTCCACCCTCCTAGGACCCTTCAAATTTTACTCCCAAATGCTGCGTATATTACAAGCAGTTAACCCAGCTTAAATTTCTGAGCGTACAAGTCAGTCGCCTCACCTTGTTCATGGCGTTCAAGTTGAGAGTGGCATCCTCTTCGGACTGTCCTCCCGAGAGGAACACTACTCCAGGAACAGCTGCGGGAACTGCTCGCTGTAGGGCTGTCACGGTAGCCAGAGCAATTTCATCATGAGAAGGCTTGGTGCCTTTGAATGCTTGCCCTGAAAATTTTCAAGCTTTTTGAGGTAAATTCCAAGCTGCCACTGTATGGAGTGGTTCACTCACCAGCAGTTACCATATTCGGTTTCAGTAGTGTTCCTTCAAGATAGACGTGATGGTCGTTGAGGGCTCTGGAAAATGAGGGGAATTTTTTTGGGAGTTCGAGAGCATGAATACTGTAACCGTTACCTGTAACAGTAAGACAAGACAGTTTCGGTGATCTTCTGGCATCTATGGATGTCATGCTCTCCATCTGGAAGAATTTCCGGCTCCACAATAGGGACCAATCCATTTTGTTGGCAGATAGAGGCATAGCGAGCGAGTACCTGTAAATGTAAACGCTGCAATATTAGCCTGTCCGTTTGATTATGGGCAGTATCCCACGGGTTTATAATCCCTCATGGTGCTTCACTCAATCTGGAAAGAGTAAAAAAATGTACCTCGGCAATTTCAACGAGAGCCATGTGGGAAGGTGTGGTGGCGGAAATCTTATGAACACAACGCCACTTAGCGAATTGAGCACCATCCTGCAATAACAGTAAGGTAGGCTTGCCTTTACCTCCATTCAGACGTGGAGGGA